CAGTGTTGGGCGTATGGCGACAAAGGGTCTCCTTGTCCACCTAGGATGTGACGTGCTGGCCGTTGGATCGGGAGATGAGTGCATCCGAGCCGTCAATCAAGATCACAGAGTCGTGTTCCTTGACGTCACCATACCTGGGGTCGACACTTTTGAGGTGGCCATGAGAATTCACCAGAAATTCTCTAAACGGGCCGAACGGCCCATGATCGTTGCCCTAACTGGAAACACCGATAAAATGACGAAAGAGAACTGCATTAGGGTCGGGATGAAAGGTATTGTGCTAAAGCCCATTTCGTTGGATAAAATGAGAAGTGCACTTACTGATCTCCTTGAGCATGGCTACCTGCCCGAATCTCAATAAAAACACTTGTTGAACGAAAAATGAAAGGTCTATAGAAAAATGAAACTTTTTTTGTTTCGTTTCGATTATTGGGAAATATGAAGGCGGCATATGATAATTTTTAACGTCTCGGAGGAAATCGCGAGAGATTTTTTATGGAGATGTGAAGATGATGACCCTGGGGAATTAATATGAGTTGTAGAGAGTGGTATGTACTGAGGTGCATGCAGAAGAAGATGAGCTTTTTATTTAACTTTGATTTAACTGTAAAATTCTGGTCACACACTTGTGTTCTAGAGAGAGAGATCGGTTTCTTGGTAACTTTCTTATGAATTGTATGTTGAAAAAAATGCAATTGAAGAGGTTAAACTAAAAGAACTAGTGAGCTTGTTGAGGCTGTGTGTGTATTTTATTTTTATTTTTAATTGAAACGATAGATTCTATTGCTCAGAGAATATACAACAGGACCGGGTAAGAAGTCATACAATCATCTCAGACGAGAGGAATAGAGGAACACACACTAGGTGCCCTACACAATCACAAAAGAAACAGAGTTGCCTGAGAAAATTTCAGCTAAGGCAAGGCTTAGAACCGAATATTCTAGAACAGCTCTGGGCTTACTCAGCAAGATGAGCAAGCACATCGAAAGGAGGACCACCACTGGATAACCCGGCCTAATAGTCCCCGCACCAAAAGGAACCTAAACACCCTAAACAATAAACTACAAACACTAGACAAAGAGACCAGATAACGGCCACACAACAACTAAACAAAGCAACTAAGAAAGAGAATAGTATTCCAACCAATCAGCCACAGCTATATCTACCACTGCTTTCCCTTCTCTCTTAACATTTTGGAAAACTCAAAGGTTTCTGGTTTTCCACAACCATCTGAGAAGATAAGCTGAGAGTTAAATCTTATCTTCTGAGATTGCTATAAGTGGAAAAGAGTAGACACCAATCTACCAGTCCTTGAAGCATCCTGATTTATCTCTAAGACCCTTTTAGCTGAAAGGAGCTAGTTTCCAAAACTTTACAGCTATAGGGCAATGGAATAGTATGTGCTCCAGAGTTTCTTCTTCCTCTCTATATCTTCTGCAAATTGAGTCCACCTCTACTACTTTCTTGATGAGATTGGTATTGGAAGGCAGGGTATTGTTGAAACAGGATCAGATAAAATGTTTGATTTTGCCTTTGATCTTGGGCCTCCAAAACCTCTTCCTTGCTTTGCAAGTGGTTGTAGAGTCTTTACTGAATTCAGGAAGATCCAACATATTCCAATTCTTCTCTATCATCCTGGCATAAGAAGATTTGACAGAAACTTTGTTTTGAGAACCACCCTCCCAATGCAGTATGTCTGATTTGGCAGGCTCCATCCCTTTGATATGCAGAATTGCTTGCATATCCCTGGAGTTGAAGTTGTTTTTCAGTAAGTCCACATTTCATCTTCTTCCATTTGAATCAAGAAGATCTTTGACTTTCATAAGTGCATGAAAAGAGGAGGGTAGCTTCTCTGGCATGAAATTGGGCATTCCAGGAATCCAGGGGTTGTTCCAAATGTGTATTGCTTTCCATTGCTAATTTGGAATCTTGCAGGAGAGGAGGAAGCTAATCGGCTATGATGTGTTGGAGGGAACTTTTGTAGAATTTTGTTATGAAAATTCCTTGGGTGGTGAAAACGTTTAATAAATAGTTTTCAGTGATCAAGTGCGTACGCATGAATCTGTTTCTTTGATGTGTAGCCGAAAACGTTTAATAAATAGGAATGCTCGAGAAAAATCGTGAAAGTAAGAAAAACATTGAAAAAATCCTAAGGGCCATATATATAGATGAGCCCAACTAATGAAGACGCGACACGTGTCGGGACATTTAAATTTCAAAAATTTGAGAAGGCACAACTGTTCAGAACCGATGGTTGTGGTGTTCGGATCGAACGGCTGGGAGTTGCTGCGTGTACGTCACGTGACCAGCGAATGAAGCGGCGCGACTTTTCAGAACCGATAGTAAAGTGTAACAGACATGCCACATTAAACACACAACTTTTCGACTGGCGTCATTAATGCGTGACAACTGTTGACGCAAGTCCAAGCCACACGCCCTGCAGTGGACGACCTCAATCGAAAGACTCGGATCAGATTCTGGAGTGACGACCTCAAAAGGAATGCCGAAGGCCTCCCACCCGAGCTCGGGGGCATGTATGTTGATATCCGAGTCAAGCCCCAAAAGATTTTCGATTTGAGGACAATGGACCGATTGAAACCGACCTCAAAATCGGGACAGGCTTTCGGGTCACACCGAGGGGCCAAGCTGACTGGAGAACAAAGTTGACAAGAATGATGTGTAGAATAGTCTTCGCGGATGACACTCTTTCGGGTCGAGGGTTGACGCCGATCTCCGAGAACGCCGGACAGAAAAACAGAACCCTGGAGGCTGGAAGATGAAGTGACGATGAGATTCCGACCTGAAGATTCGACAAGACCGGCTTCCGCATGAACACAGGATCAAGAAATAATAAAATACTATCACTTGTCAAGTGATCATTGCTGATGGGATGCGCCACCCTAGTCTACAGTCCTAGGGTATCTAGCTTGGCAAGGAGGCATGTAAGCATTAAATGCTCCACATGTGTGCATTTAATGTCTGTCAGGTAATCATTGGAAAATATCAAACTTCATTTATTGCTTGTCAGAGCGGCGCCGACCTGTCGTCTCCGAATTACTGTACGATGGGATTGAGTGAACAGTACCCGAACAGTGTCAAACTAAGGATACTATAAATATGAGACATTTTCACTTATTAAGGGTTGTTTATTCCTCTACTAACTATTTCTCTCTCTACATTTACTCCTCCAATATTGTAACAAATCCCCGTGATTATTTCAAGTATAACAAAAGTGTCGACCTCGATATCATTGGCCGAACTCGTAATTAAGTAATAAAAGCCTATTTATCTTGTAGATTCCAATCTCCTTGCTTGTTCTATCACTTATAAATCTTTTATTAACCGTTGACCGATTCCGATCGTCAACAAAATCGTTCTTATTCGAAATGAAACTTGTAGTCCATCTTTCATTAAAATTGTTCTTTGTATTCGAGATATGTATTGTCTTTTCAACAATACGACTAATCAATCTCTTAGTCAAAAAAGTTATTTAAAGAAAAACAAGGAGCAGCTAAAAAGGATGTGGAAAGAGCATTTGGGGTGCTTCAGTCTCGATAGGTAATTGTAAGAGGTCCTGCTCGGTTTGGTATAGAAGAAAACTTAAATTTATTATGTTGATATGCATTATTCCAAACAATATGATTGTTGAAAATGAAGGAGATGTAATAACACATTGGCACAATGACGTGGATGTAGAGCCCGCACAACATGTCAAGGGTTCAAATCAAGAAATTTCAATATTATATTCGTAGAAGTTCAAAGATATGAGATAATACAATGCATTATCAACTTCGTGCCGACTTAGTTAAGCATATTTGAACTCATTTTGCCACCAACTAAAAAAGTTAATTTTTTTATTTACTATTTTTTTGTAATCTTAATCTATGTTTTTTTTTTTTTGGTCGCATTTAAAATTTATTATTATAATTTAAAAATATTAAATTTTTATTTTTATTAAGAATATAATATTAAATTTATATTGAATTAGTGTATAATGGGTCTCATATATTTAAGTTTACAAAAATTTTATGAAGCCATCGGATGGTTTTCTTATGAAGCCATCCACCACTTAATGTATTAACACATGTTCAAATTGTATTTATTGTAGGACACGTGTCAATACACTATTGGTGAATAAGTGTGGATGACTCCATAAGTCGAGCCATCCGATGGCTCCATAGCAAAACTGGTTGCATTTAAATGATTCAAGGAATGTGTATAAATGGAGAGATGTTGAGTGGAATGATGATGTGGACGTGAGCTGGATGAGAGAGATTTTAGTTGGTGATTAAATGAATGTAGATGCCCTAATTACATTGTTTTAAATAGCTCGCTATATCAAAAACATGACGTAGCCTTATATATCTAGCGTTTTCCCAAAACGCTTATGCAAAATATTGAAATGACATGTTTTTTTACGCTATTTTGTGTTATTTCACGCTATTGTGCGCTACACTGTGCTATATTTCTACACGACATTTAAACAATAAAATAATAAAAAACTCGTAGTTTTTAGGGACTAGAGTCAAATTTTTAAATGACAACTAAAAAATAAATTTTTTGATAATGATTTCAAATTAAAAGTTTGAAAATGCAAAGTCCTAAGTTGAATAGTGCAATATTTATCCGTCCACTTCTGTTGTATCATTTTATTTTTCGATATTTAACATTTAAATAAAGAATTAAAAGTTTGTATCTAGTGGTTAAAATTAAGTTATAGTTAAATGAAAACTAATAATTAAAATGTATTCTTAAAATTAAACTATGACTTATGTATTCTTAAAATTAAACTATGACTTACCTCATTATATTTTGTTATTTGTTTTTACTTTTTGGTATATTCAACTTATTATATAAATATTTATATAATGATCATTACACTAAATATTTGTGAGAAATAATGTTTATATGTTATTTTTGAAGTCATTCAAATATTATGATAATTTGTGGAATCAACCATCCAGTTTTATTATATATAAATATATTTATAATATTTCTATAAAAATAAAAATTATACTCACGCAACGCTATTTACCACGTAGTGTAAATGTCAAAACGCGACGTATTATGCTATAGGCGTTTTAAAACACTGTCTAATTATTTAAACTAATATTGATCCTGTGCATTTGCACAAATTTAAATAAAATATTATAAGTTATTTATATTCGTATAACTAGTACAGAGCCCGTGCGATGCACGGGGTGCACAATTTTAAGGCTATTTATCCAGACTTATAATTATATAGATGAATACAGAAAAATGTACGGGATATATATAGTACGTGACCCGTGCGAGGCACGGGATATATTTATTTGAGGAATACTATATTATAAGATGCAATATTCAATAAAAGTTTTATAATACGCAGGAAAATTATACAATAAGATAGTATTCGACAAACAAACAATCATATATTATTAAAGACCACCTTGTACACAACATTATGAGTTTGATTTTCCATACAATAATAATAAGATTTTTTGTAAAAAGATAAGAAGGAATTTTCAATCTACACAAACTTTAAACATTAGATGTATTTACGTAAATCAATGACTATATAGACAACTAAACCCTTCAATTTAGGCTTGACATCTACTTTATTTATGGGTGACGTAAAATAAGGATTTAATTTGGACCGATTAAATCTTTATTCATAGGCTTGACATATAAAACTGATTTGATGGGATTTGCTTACCTAAACCGATGCTATGGGATAAAACAAATGTATACTTACCTTTGACTTTTCCAGTAAAGGTAAAAAAATCGGTTCTGATTTTTATCCCATAACAAATCTTTAATGTCAAGCCTATAAATACCAAAACAAATATGTAATTAATATCATTCTATTTCCAGCAAGCATTAATTACCTTTGACTTTTCTGCCTACTATTTCTAGTAAATAGGATGACTTTTTATATAAGTATAGATTTCATATAATGCAAAGACTGAGATCATAAAAAAGAATCCTAAAAACTGAAATAATATATTTGCATAATTTAAGGTCATTAAGAAATCGATCTCTAAACCAGATTTGATTTTCAGAATATGTTTTTTCATTTCAAATTCCATAAAAATGGAATTCTTTCCAACCAATAGATGTCATAGCAAATATTAACTCTTAACTATTAGACTATTAGTACATACCGAGCAAATTGTGTACTGATTTTAGAAAGTTAAAATGATTCATGTTAGGTAATTTTACATTTTATGCATGTTGAACGGTGGGTTTTAAATATTGTTTCATAGAATGTAAAAGTGTATTATATTATTTTTATGAGATGTTGAACTTGAAAATTAATAGAATTCTTCTTCATAGGAATTTTAAATGTAACAATATTCTTTGGTATACACTACTAATAAAATCTATATTTAAAGTTTATATTTTTTTTTACCAGAAAAAATTTCTTAATTTAAGGAATCATATATCTTCAATCAGTCCACATCTATATACATTCTTCACAATTTTAAGTCTTGATTTTGATGATAATTCGTATCTATGAGTGCAAAATATGGTTTAACAAATTAATTTTTTAATATTATTCCAGCCATACTTCGTTATACGATTTTTTGTGAAAATACAAAAGTAAATTCTTAATTTTAAATCAGCCGTACATTAAAGAGTACAAATTTGTTGAAATTACAAAAGTAGTTTTTTACTTTTAAACCGACGTAAATTTAAATCAGCCATAAAAAATTATATTTGTTTATTATTTAAATATTAAATCAGCCGTAATTAATGTTGTTTGTTTTAGTTGCCACGATTTTCTCCAAACTAAATTAACAACTGCCATGATTTAAGGGCAACATCTAATGCTGCTCTATTTTTATGAGACATTAAATGTATTTGGCGGGAAAAACTTGCTAAAAGTGTTAAATGGTTAATCTTTTAATATAATAATAGATATTAAAATTATAAGTTAGATAATGATATTAAATTTTAAACATAGAGTATTATAAGTTAAATTTATGCATATAATATTAAAATCTTTACATATATATCAAGACCATTTTGGATGAGGGATTTATTTCATGGGATTTGATTTTTTTAAATATATATTTGTATTATCCGAAAAAATATTTTTTTTATTGTATGACTGCAATAGAAAATAGAGATATTTGTAGTCATTCTTAATTAATTGTGAAATATATATTTATAAAATACCAAAATATATATAGTATCAAAATAAAAACAAAAATATTTTGTATTTTAGACATTACAAAAATGTGCACCATCTAAAATGAGACATGTCAAAATAAATTGTGTAACTGAAAGTTACATATTTTTATTAAATGGGGAACATACTTTTATTAAATGAACCTATATTTTTATTAAATGAATTATTATTATTATTAATTGCTGGCTGAATAAAATTTAATGAAACTTGTCATTAATTATATATATGAATAAAATTTAATAAAACTTGCCAGCAATTATATATATATATATAGAACGGGAATTAAATTATAAAAAAAATGTTGTATTTTCTCACAAATTAGCCATTTAAAAACTATTTAGTCAAATAGGAGTAATACTAATCGACATCGACGACTCTTTTGACTGTCATATTTGACGCCAACATTTGATATTCCTCTATGCAGTGTTTTTAAAACCCTCCAAAGTACGCTTCAGATCTGTTGATCCACGGCCAGTGGGGGCTTCTGTCCGAGTAAGTATTCAAAAGCAGCCGTCAGATCAAACAAGGGTTTATCACTGTCGATCTTCGTCCTCCGGACCTCCCCATCACACACGTCTCTTGTGTGTGTCCTTTTGTTTCTCCTGCTTTTACTCGCACAGCGAACTACTTTTATTTTTGGTGTCATTTTCCGTCAATCCTCCTATTTTTCTGAACATAGAGGCAGGTTTTTGGTATTCAAAGGAGAAACATCAGATCAAAAGGTTTTTCTTGTACATTGTATGCTACAGAGCAAGTCTTTTTTCGTTTTTGTCAGTTGGGTTATTTCATTTCTTCTATCTTTGTTCTGGGCTTTGTTTGTTCTTTTAGGAGATTTATCTGTGTAAAAGATTTTTTTTTTTGTTCTCATTTTATTATTCAGTGTTGGCACAATCCAGTCCCAAGTTCTTTTTTTTTTTATTTAATTTTGGCGGAATAAAGAATTGACCTTTTTCCACCAGAAGTCCGTTTTTCCTTCCTTGCTTCAGATTTTCCCTGTAGGTTTCTCTAACGTCTCGTGGTTCCGTGTTTTTTGGAGTATAACGTTGCCCAGATATTGTTATATTGTATGAATGGAGGAACGCATTTTGCTACTTCTCCATTTTGATTCCCTTGTTTTGTTTGGACGAGATAAATTCGTGGCGGCATGGAAAATTTTCATCCAATTATTGAGTTCTGAAAAGAAAGTCTTTTGAAGTGGAATTCGTTTTTGCTTTTTCATCAGATTTTTGTGGGAGGAGGTTGAAGACCGATATTTTTGTCTTGAAAATATCCCGTTCTTCATGGGATATATGCGATCCTTTTTGTTTCAATATGTAACAGAAAATATCTTCTCCGTTGACATCAATTTTTCTTAACTCTTTTATGACCTTTTGTTCTGTGGTGTGCAAAAGTTGAGTAATCTTTTTTTGCCCAATATCTTTGAAATTTATGAAGGAACAAGAATCTTCATCTTTCTTTCTTTAATGCGGGAAGAAAGGAATCCCCTTTTGCAAGGGGGTATAAATCTTTCTCTGTTTTTTCTTAGGTTTATTATTTGAGTCTTTAATATAATATTTTATGTATAATTGAGGAGTTTTTGAAATTACGGAATGATTCTTTCGAATTAATAGGGGAAGTACCTGAAATCTCTGTGTGTAAGAGGTTTCCACTCTGTTCTTACAGTTGTTCTCCTCGGTTTTGTTTTCTTGTAGGTTGAAAGATTAATATCGGGTATAGAAAATGTCTGGGGAGAAGGATTTTGAAGCACGTAAGGCCTATTGGTTTACTACTAATACCTTTCTATGATTATGATGCATTTAGCTGCTCTAGTATTTAATTTTTTGTGTATAAATTTTCCTTCATTCTGTTTGTGAATATTTTAGGAGCAATTTAATATATCATGGCTGCAAAATGTTATGTGTTGCCAAATTTGTTTGTGTGTGTGTGGCTTTGTTCAGCAAGAATGTCTCCTTCTTTCCTTGAATTATATTAATCTGCTGGGAATGTATTGATTCAATAATATAATCAATTTTCTCTATAGATGTGGATTTAGTAACAAAACCAATTGTCTATTTCATCTGTTCCATGCTTCTTGATGTTTTTGTTAGTTGTAATTTGGAGCAGATCCTTTGAAACATGAGTCTTGTCCAAAAGATTTCGTTTGTGCCCTTTGCGTGCTATCGTTTTTCTGCAGCACTTTCCCCCCCTTTGTGGATATGAATTTGCAATGACTGAACTACATTATTAGTAAGTGTTTTTTTGCCTAAGGGAATGGTAAAATGCAGCAAGAGAAAAACCTCTTATCTATGAAAGTGACCAAGTTGATGGATGTGTTTGTTTTCAAATGGAGACTGTATTTTGAATTTTGAATATTGTTAGTATTATTCCTTTAAGATTGGAATATCTCCAAGGATTTAGCGGTGGATAAGAGCGCATGGAGGCTAGCAATCAATATGCCAGAACCGTGACTTTTGCTCCAATCCGTTCCTTTTGTTTTGTTTTCCTTTGTTTTATTTTGTTTGTTTTGTTTGTTTTGTTTTGAGCCCCTTTTTGTGTTTCTCTTATCATTGGTTCTCTTGGGTTTCATCTCTAGCCTACCCTATCTTGCTTGGGACTAAAAGGCTATGTTGTTGTTGTTGTTAGTATTATTTTTGTTGAAACTTAAATCTGTTGTTTCTATTTTTAGAATTTTTTAGCTTGAACTTTGCATTTAGTTTGTTATATAGGTTTTGTTTTAATCTTTTAAACTGAGAGCTAGAGTGATCTATCCACTATTCCGGATTTTAGATGTTGAGTAGGAGAGTATGCATTTTTAGTTGGATCAACTAATTGGTGATACAAGTACACTTATTAGCTAAGCGCAAAATTTCTAAAATCTTTTACTATTACTAT